AGCATGCGTGTGCGCCCCGAGGTGGTTGCGCTCGTGAAACGGTTGTGGTGGGTTGTGGCTCCATGGCAGCCAGTAACCGTTAGCGATGACGGAGAGGATGAGGCTGCTGGGGCACCACGAGCTCCACCATGCAAGGGCTGCGCGAAGCCGCCCGCGCATTTGCGTGACAGATTTGTCAGTGACGGCGAACTCGTACGGATCTTCGTCGCCTAGCGTCTCGTGTCGTGTTATCTCTGCATGTTTGCCGAGTGACTATGGCGCAGAGGTGTTAGAATGCAAGCCATCGTGTCTCAGGAATGTGCATGCGATAACGCGTGCGTAGACACATCAACAAGTCGTAATCATCGTTTGTCACCCATGTGTGACGCGGTTCGCCTCTCTCTCCCCTCTCGCTCTCTCTCTCCCTCTCTCCCTCTCTCTTTCTCTCTCTCTCTCTCTCTCTCTCTCTCTCTCCCTCTCTCTCTCTCTCTCTCTCTCTCTCTTTCTTTCTCTCTCTCTATCTCGCTCTCGTTCACTCTTTGCATTTGCTCTTGCTTTCCCTTTATCCATGACATGCCTTTTTGGCTCGTGGCCAATATAAAGGCTACCAATGCCAACAAATGGTGGGGCCGTTTGCTCGGGTTCGTGTGGGTGCTTGCCATTTTGTCGCTCTCTGGTTTTTTTTTTTTTTTTTTTTTTTTTTGTCATCCAAAGCCAAGATCAGAAAGTACTTTTTAAAAAATAAAGCCCTTATAAGAAACGGGCCACACATAGCCATGCTTCCTAGCATGCATCCGCCCCGCACCGCACGGGCCAAATTATGAGACCAAAGGGCTTTCTAGTCCCTCTCCTGCCACCTAGGCCTATAGCCTAATCATCACCCCTAACTAGGGCTTGGCTCATAGCCACCGCAAACCCCTTTGGGTTGCCCACGGTCAACGCACTTGACGTGCACCGTGCCACGCGCGCTAAGGCGCAAACGCTCAAGGACCATCCCTACACCACGGGTGCGGGTCCTTGGCCACCATTGCCATTCCGCGGGCAGCCACTTGCCACATGCCCCGGCTGGCCGCAGCGGAAGCATGTCCCACGGAAGCAGTGGAAGCTCCCCATAGGCGGGCCGCGCTTGGGGTTGAACGCCATGGGCCCGCGACCTCCGCCGCGGTGGGATCGAGCGTGCGCACCCTCCGCGCGATCTATCGCTGCCACGTCGGCGACGGCTTGCTTGAACGGGCGGGAGGTAAGGAGGCTCTTCTGCTTGTACATCTTGAACCGCTTGGCGACGCGATCGTCGGTGGCGTCCTCGACTTGAAGCATGTCGTAGCGCTCCGAAATGTAGTCGAGGGCGCTCGCGACCATTTCAAGTCCGCCCGCCGCGTCGCCGCGCTGCAGTTTGTACTCCGCGTGCTTCAGGTAGGCCCTCAGGTCCTCCAGGGGCTCCACTTTCGCTCGCACGAGCGGGTCAATGAAGTTTGCCGCCGAAAAAGTGGGGTTAGTGCAAGGGAGGGGAGGGAGATTTTCCATGGGGGGAAAATTTGTTGTGTTGTTCGGAGCCTCACCGGCGTCGTCGTCTGAGTCGTCGGAGTCGTTGTTGACTGCTGCAGCTTCAGGAGCGCTGGTAACGGCCTCCTTGTCGTGGCGGCGCGTTGATGGTCCTTTTGCTCCTTTTTCCTTTTTTGCAATGTCGTTTTTAGCCGATGCAGATGCCGCAGGTTGTGTAGTTTCGGCGGCGATCGCGCTAGCGGGGTGCTGCTGTAACAGGGACAGGAGGGCCTTGACTTGGTCCGGGGTCAACGCCTCGGTCAAGGCCTGGTCAGCCGTCGCGTCAGACGAGGCAGCCGTACGGCGCCTCTGGCGCTGACGCGACGGCCGGCCGGAGGCGTGTGCCGCTGGCGCGTGCTCCGCGTCCGCGGCGTGTGTCGCCACGTTCGCCACTGGCGCCACAGGCGCCACTGGCGCCACAGGTGCCACTGGCGCCACAGGCCCCGAAGGGTGCTGGGGGTGCTGCTCGGCGTTTTTGTTGACTTCGAGCCCGCCCAACAGCACGTCCACGGCGGTCGGGGCGGATGTTTCGCCGTCTGCCCGGCGCTTGTTGCGACGCTCGCCCGTCGTTTCACGGGCATTACGGTCGTTGTCGGAAATTATCGGGTCGTCGGCAACGATGTTGTTAGCACGGTTAAGCGTCGGCGTCGCAGCCATCGTTGAGCGGTTTTGGTTAAGGATGTCGGCTAATAAAGTTGGAGAAATGCCTCTAGGTAATGAGCGAGTCCTCGCCAGCTTGAACGGTAAAACTAGAAGTGAGCTCGAGAAAATGGAGTTGCATGAGCCGTTGGAAAACGAGAGACGTGGGTGGAGGGAAATGAGCTCCAACCCACGATTTGTAGTTGGAGAAGGGCGTTTAGCGCGCTTCGACGATGCCAAAACATGCGTTACAAGCAGCTGCGCTTTCGAAATACGTAATTTTGAAAAACACTTCGTGTGTTTAAAATTTATAATTTTTCTTTAAATAGTCACCGTGGCTCCACTCCACATGCCCCCAAGCCCTCTTCATCGTCCCCCCTTACCCGCAATCCCACACCTGCCCCACCACCTTCTGCACAGCGTTCACCATTTCCTACAGCTGCACAACCTACAGCATGCTTTGAACCACCAATGGCGCCACCAATGGCGCCTAGAGGAACCTTTAAGCAACCCGAGGCAGGAAGAGGGAGAATGCGGATGCGGCAAGTGGGCCGGTGTACTGCCAGAAGAGTGGGTAGTCCCCAAACAGCTGTAGAAGGGAGAGGATATGTGGGGCATGTGTGTTGCGCTCCCCTCGCTATCATGCTCTCCGTTGCCATGCTTGCCTTCTGAGAGGTGCACGTGGATAGAACAGGTGGGTAGGAAGAACAGAGCAGACAGATAGGACGGAACAGACAGGTAGGATGGAACAGGCAACTAGAATGGAAATGCGAAAAAAAAAAAATAGAAAGTGTCACAAAGTACAAGGATTCGGCAGGAAAATAATGGCCTGCCTAAGGACCAGGCATGCTCTCTCACTTCTCTTCTCAGGGGTGCGATGGGAGCAAGGGAACAACAGACAAGTAGTGTAATCATCTGGTATGGTGCACACGCACTGTGGCAACGGGGCACAGTAGACTGCCTCTGGCCCACTGCAGTCAGCAGCACCATCACCCCATGACCCTCACCTACACCACATCAATCCCATTCCATGGGCCTCACCTCCAGCGCGTAAGAAGGGCCGCAAGTTGTCGCGGTTCAAAGGTGTGCGTTGGCACAATTTACGGATGTGGGGTGCTGAAACAGAGGGAAATGAGAGAATATCTTCTCTTGGCTAAATTCCAACGTAAAAAGAGGCTGCTCGTGTTTATGACACATCCTTGATCGAGAAGAGTCGCGATCGTGTCAGCCTTCTCGATCAACGATGCGTCGTGAACTTGAGCAGCCTCTTCTTCTGTTGGAAAATAAGCAATGGAAGACATTCTCTTGTTTTCCTCTATTTCAGCAACCACATCCGCTTTGAGTTGTCCCAACGCACACCTTTGAACCGTAACAGCCTAGGGCCCCTCATATAGAAGAAATTTCATGTTTAAATCCCACCCCACAGCCCTCACTCACCTCCAGCGCATCAATCTCGTCCTCCAATGAACCTCCGCCAGCCCCTCTCGTCGCCTCCTTCTCCTCACCAGCCCCACCCACTCAACTGCCTGTTACGGCTGCCGCTGCCACTGCTGCCACCACTGCTGCTGCGACTGCCGTTGCTACTGTTACGGCCTCCACTTCATCATGCATGGTGGAAATTTGGTCTGGTGGTATGGGTGGGACAGCAGCAGTGGCGGGAAGGGCCGAGGAGCAAGAAAGAGTTGCAAAGGTGGAAGAGCAAGGCAGGGAAGTGGAAAGGAGATGGAGGAGGGAGGAGGAGAGGCGAGGGCAGGGAGTTTGAGGATGGCACGGAGGGCCCGCACCACCTGAGGCACCATGTTGGCCTGGGGGTGATACAGGAGGAGGGGAAGTGGGGGGAAGAAAGGATAGGCACACGTAGGAGGGAGGCGTTGAGGATGTGAGGGGAGAAAGGCGAGTGATCCGCGTCGTGAGAGCAGGTCCAGGACATCATATGCAGGGACAATGGAGTCGTCGGATTCGAGCAGGTGACACCTCTTTAACCTGCCTCCCACCTCGACGGCAAATACAGGCATGTGGCGACCTCGTAGCCACGCATTGGCCTTGAGCTTGGAGCGCAGAGCTTGCACGGTGTCTGCTGCTGCGATGTCAGTGTGATGAGCGAAACCAGCCAGCCCCATCACCTCCACCACGTGCTCCACGTGTTCCTATGATACCTGCTCACAGGGGAATGGATGGGTAGTAAAGGTGGAGGGCTTATATCAAACAACAACGTCTGATAGAAAAGGCTACATTCAAAGGCCGCAGTACAGTCCACAGCACAGACCACAGCACAGACCACAGCACAAAGCACAGCACAGGCGCACACATGGTTGTTTTCATAAATCCTGGTAGACGAAGAGCCACGTAATACGATAATTTTCGAAAAATGACCTGCACAATAAGCTACCACACCTGCACAGCACAGCTGCTAGCGTTGAGTTGTCGGAGCGCGTGGCCTGGGCGACCTCCGAGAGCCCAGTAGGCGCACTGCCTTGAGACCAGGATGCTGATGGTGATGGTTCTGCCTGCTGCTACTGATGGTGTCTGGAGATGAATGCAGAGCTGCTATTTCTGCCGACACCAGTGCTGGCAGACCTGCTAGCCATGCCGCCCCACCACAGGGCCGACCTCCCCCACTCACCCCCATCAGCATCATCACCACTCATTATCTGTGACACAAATTCTGTGTCACTGCTGTTCTCCTCGCTGTTGCCACTGAGGAGGCAAAGCCAAATGGTGAATGGGATGGATGGGAGGGCCATGCCGCAATGGCTCTCTCTCACTTTGCCTGCCGCCCTCCCTGGGCTGTGCTGCGTCCCACTCCCTCACACCCATCGCTCCCATGCTCCATTGCTTCCTCAGTCCCTCTGCGACCCCTGGTCGTCCCATGAACCTGCTCTCGTGACACCAGCACTGCTGCCACCAGGGAGACCACCACCGCCGTTGCTGCTGCCTATACCGGTTCTACCAACAGTGGAAGCGGTGGCAACATTGCCATCCACCCACAACTCCCCATGCTGCCTCATCACCTGGAGTGCCTTGCCTGTAGCACCCCATGGGGTCAGTGGAGAGCGCACAGGAGGGGAGGGAGATGATGGGAGAAGGGAGCAGACGTGAGATGTGTGAGCATGAGAGGAGCCAGCCAGGTCGAAAGTGGGGTTTGTGGGACAGATGGCTCCATCGGCGAGGTGTGGAGAGGGATGCGAGAGTCAATGCCCACTCCACGGCCCGCGGACGATTCAGTCAGTGATCAGTGTCAATTTCCCGCTTCTCCACCCGAGAGCAGGGCATCCCCGGTGGCAGCAAGGCAGCGGTGCACGGTCCATCGTCCACTGCCGCTTGGAACACAGGCGGGCCTCCCCTCTCCACCACTCTTATGCACGCCCCTCCTCCTCATCTCCTCATCGCCCATCGCCACTATCTGCATACATGCGAGGGTGAGAGAATGGGAGGGAGGGAAGAGAGGAGTGGGGGAAGAGAGTGAGAGGGGAACGTAAGGAGTTGTGGGTGATAGGGGCGTGGACAGGCGGAGGAAGAATTGCCTGTGCGTCTCGGCCTTGTAATTACGTGAAGGGGCACAGGTTGACAGGGTGATGGTGCAGATAATGCAAGCAGCTGCCCTGCCTATGTATGGAGGGAGAATGGATGGACCACTCCCCACTCATGCCCTCGCACTCCTCCCTGCCACCACACGACAACCTCCTGAGTAAGCAACAAAATCTTCTTTGAGTAAGCAACAAAATCTTCTTTTCTTCCTTCCTCACAATACACGACTCTCAACCCACCTGCACCCCTCTTTCCTCAACCCACGTGCACCCCTCTTCCCTCAACCCACCTGCATAGTGTACCCCTCATGTGATCACCACCCAATGCTCCTGACTCGCTGCACGCACACCATACATCTCGGCTATCACCACCACCTGCGGCATTTTAAGGCGCCTAACAAATGGTTTTGCAGCTGACTTGGAACCGCTCATCTTGCCGCACGGCCTCCTCAAACCACTCAGCAAGCGCCACGTGGCGCGTGATGTAAGCTCGGATGCCCTCCACCCCATACGTGCGCAACACCATCCACAACTTCAGCGACCTGCGAGATGGCTCGGTAGGTAACGTGGTCATGGCGTATGAGCATGGCATGGGCATGGTATGGGCGTTGCAGGGTCATGGCATGGGCATGGGGTTGACAGCATGGTATGCCTGCTGTGTGCGGATGAGGGGCGACAGCAGAGGGGGAGGGAGTATGCGTGCATGGATAGACGTGAGCGTCAGCAATATAAGAGTATGCTGCAATGTGATCACACTGAAGGAGACCTTCAAAGTTAAGAGGTCTGCAGTCCTCGTAAGAGTATGCTGCAATGTGATCCCACCTGGTTCCACATGCAGCACTACCCACCTGCGTCCACATGCAGCACTACCCACCTGCGTCCACATGCAACACTACCCACCTGCGTCCACATGCAGCACTACCTGCGTCCACATGCAGCACTACCCACCTGCGTCCACATGCAGCACTACCCACCTGCGTCCACATGCAGCACTACCTGCGTCCACATGCAGCACTACCTGCGTCCACATGCAGCACTACCTGCGTCCACATGCAGCACTACATGCGTCCACATGCAGCACTACCCACCTGCGTCCACATGCAGCACTATCTGCGTCCACATGCAGCACTACCCATCTGCGTCCACATGCAGCACTACCCATCTGCGTCCACATGCAGCACTACCTGCGTCCACATGCAACACTACCTGCGTCCACATGCAGCACTACCTGCGTCCACATGCAGCAGCAGTCGAAGCTGGTGAGCAGCCACTTGTGGACGTTGGACACTAGTGAGTCCGCCAGGTGCACGCCTGCCAGGTGGTGCCGCATTAGGAACCCATGGGGCAGCCCCAGCAGGTCCACCATCCAGTCCATGACAACCTCCTCCAGCTCAGTCGCCGCAGGGGTAGCAGCACAGGAGAAGCCGGCGACATTGAGGGCGCTGATGAGCGCGTCAGCACAGATGGCGGCAGCGCTGGTGGACCGAGCTCTGCCATTGTCATGCCTGGCAGAATGGCGCTCGATATGTCTGTGCGGTGCAAAGCGGTGATGCATGTGGAGGAGCGGTGGGATGGGGGTAGAAAACGGGTGGGGGTTGAGGAGTGGTGGAGGGATCGGGGGAGTGGAGGGAGAGGGAGGGGTGACTTGGGAAGAGGAGGGGTTGGGGAGAGGAGCTCTTTGAAGGGGAAGCTAGCAGCTGTAACAATGGGACGGAAGGTGGTTCATAAGGAGATATATTAGCTTGGGTAGGGGCAGGGCATTGAAGGATGGGGGTGGGCAAGGTGCCTTAACAGGAATATGCCAGAACGCATGGTTTGGGCCGTGCGGAGGGGGCATCACCTGAGAGAATGGATTTTTACGGTACGTTTTTACCCTGGACGTTGCCCGTAAAAAGTTTGCGGGCAGCCCGAAATTGGAGAAAAAAGGGGGGGGGGGGGGGGGGGGGGGGGGGGAATGGGAGACGGCGGTTAGAGGGGAAACGAAGGGGAAGGACAGGGGGCGAGGGGAGAAGGGAGAGAGGAGAGGCAAGGCGGAGAGAGAAAAGAGGCATAAGGAAGAGAGGAAGGAGAATGGAGAGGTTGTGAAGGAAGAGACGGGAGATGAGCCGGTGGGAAGAAGGTGAGAGAGGAGGGGAGGAGGAGCATGTTACAGTTCAGGCTGGGAAGAGCAGGGCAGCGCCTTGCCCCCTCCCCTCCTCCAGCATGGCACGGCATGGCATGGCACAGCACGCCATGTCGTGGCACCCACACCCACACCCCTCACCTGCATGGTGCTGCACATGGGTCTGTCAGCTACGCCCTGCGGGTAATCCAACCATGCGATGGCGCTGCCTGCACACCTTCTCCGCCTCCAACGCTCTAACCCTCCATTGCTGCCCCTCCTGCAGTAGCACTGCCGTCTTGCACTGTCAGCCCATCACAAGCACTTCCCAGCGCTGTGACCCTGATAGATACAAGCACCTTCCTGGACCTCCGCGGCGTGTCCTCTTGCCGCCCTCCCCGCTCCCGAAGGGCGATGCCCACCAGCCATGGCGGGCGAGACGAGGCGGGGTGGAGGGGGCTCAGGGCGGCGCAGATGGAGGCGGGGGGAGCGCGAGCGCGAGGGCGAGACATACTCGTGCGTTCCTTTGCCGCGTCGCTGACGCGAACGTGTGATAGGCAGTCGCAGCGGCATGAGCTCGTTTCAGTGGAAAGTGCCACGCTAGTTTGAGAACCGGAAGGACACGGCGGCACGGTATAATGGCCATCTGCTGGGTGAGTACCACTGTTCTCCCTATTGTGGTCGCAGGAATCGCGGCGGCACTGCACGATGCCTATTTGCCTGGGCATCCCAAAAATTCAAAGGCTGAATTCAGTTCGAAATCGTTGGATACCTTGGGGTATCGCTGGCAACGTTACCCCAACGTTGCCCCAAGATGCCAACTGGAAACCTTTGCGGATCAACGACCTTGACGAATTTCGTCAGAAATTCGTTCACTGTCGATAATCAGAAATCAACGAATCAGGATGCAGAGAAATTTCGAGGTCACCACAATGATACCCCCCTGCAGGTCATTCGGTTTGGTCGCACTGTTTCGGCAACCGAAGCTGACCCGAAGCAGGTTGATGTTACAAGCTATTATGATAGTGACAATGTTGAACGATGAAGTTGTTAATAAGCCACACCATATCAGGGTACAAGTTGATGTGTTTTGATGGGAGTCAGGCAGAATAACGTCGGCCAATCACAACTCGCCTCGTCACTTCAGCAAAACAAGACATTTGCCACATATTTACCACCCTTCTTACCACAAGCTATTATTCTTTAGTTGTTGGGGCTTCAAGCTCTTCACACCTCCTAAGTTTACACCCGCGCTAGCTCCGCGATTCACTTTATGGCGCATAGCTTCCTGGAAGCTTTGCATTCATGCTAGAGATTGGGGCTTCTATTGTTCTTTATCATTCACAAGCAACGTCTTTGTATGTCTGTAAGAGTATTTAACTTATTTATCTGATGAATCTTTTTTTCATGGCAGATTGAAGGTGGCGTGAGCGATGCGCGATTCTTTCCCAACATCGCATTCCACCATTGACTTCGTTGTTCAGCCGTGAATGCTCGTAAGGTAAGCTATTTGACTCTTCTTTGGCTTAAATGCTGTTCGCCGGTCGCGACCAGCGCCGCTCATTCTGTTTGGCTGCTTGGATACTTTCTGTATATTTTTCTTCATAGCCACGGTTCGATATGTCTACTTCCCGCTTTGCACTGGCTTTCTCCTTGTGATGGTATTTGTTTCACTGCAAATCGTTGCCCTTGCACCGTGGTTTTGCAGACATTAGTTTACCAAGCCTTCTACATGCCATGTTGTTCTTTCAGGTAAGAAGACGGTAGTCGATCATCATCTGGTGTGGTGATACGGAGAACTTTCCATACCGTCTGGTTGATTTGGTCTTCCGTGTATTGACATTTCTTTGCTTGTCAATATTGCTTGACGGGTTGTTTGTATTTCGTTACCTTCTTGTGACAGGCAGTTTCACTTTTTTTTTAAGTTGAGTTGTACCTTGGAGAAATGAGGGTATGTTGAGGTGCTAGGTGCGTGCCTTGAATGGCATACGGTACCAGCTGATGTTGCTCAGTGTAATGCACAATTTTATTATCACTGTAATGCTCATTTTATTATCAGTGTAATGCTCGTTTTTACTGTGAAGTAATGAAAACAGGAATGAAAATGACTAAGGAAAGATTGGGTACAAATACAACCCTAGAAACCCTGTACCCCATATGTGCTACCCCACTATAGCCTACAGCAAATATGTCATATAAATCTGACACACCCCCATAGGCAAAGTGGGGGAGAACAAGGGGTCACAAGACCAGTCAAGTAAAGCAAAGCAGAGCAAGCTCAGGGTGGATCACAAAGTCACCACACAGTCCGAGCACAAGAGCAGGGCCAGAGGCCAGTTCACATGCAGGAGTACAGACATATATATATAAAACTAGACAAGCAAGAGCAGGTATATATATGTCACAGTACAAGTAAAGTCAAGAGGAGAGCAAGTGAGGCAAGACAGGCACAAGACCCAGCTGGGTGCAAAAGCGCTGATGGTCACAAGGCGCGAGTGCCTTGGTGAACACATCAGCAGTGTTGGCCTCAGAGGCCACGTACGCAAGTCGCAACTGACCACGCTGCTGCAGCTCACGAGCAAGGAAGTAGCGGAGAGCAATGTGCTTCGTTCTGTGCTCCAAGCGCTGCTCTCGACACAAGGCCAGCATGGCCTTGTTGTCTACGTACAGCACTGGAGGAGAACGAGGCGGCTCTCCAAGGTCAGTCAGCAGGTAGGTGAGCCAGCGAAGCTCCTGTGCAGCCATGGCCTCGGCGTAGATCTCAGCCTCACAATTGGAGCCGAGAACAGAAGACGAGCGAGTAGACCGCCACGAGACAGAGCCGGAACCAAGGCTGAAGGTGTAACCCTGTGACGACCGCTGCGTAGCCTGGTCGTCAGCCCAAGAAGCGTCCGCGTGGCCGGTAAGGACCACTGGACTCCGCCCTCCAAGCACTAGCCCCATGCCCGACGTGCTGCACAGGTAGCGCAATACCCTCTTCGCTGTAGCCATGTGCTCCGGTCTGTGTCTCCCAGGAGCAACATAGCGAGCAAGAATGCTCAGAGGGTATGCAAGGTCAGGTCGTGTGCAGGTCATCAGGTACATGAGGCAGCCAACAAGCTCTGCATACGGACCACTCGACTCTACGGACTCATCCGAAGGCAGAGCTGAGAGTGAGTGGCGAGTAGGCAGAGGAGTGGCCTGAGGCGAGGAGTACGTGAAGTCGAAGCGCTGAAGGACCTGCTGCACCATGTGTGTCTGAGTCAAGGTAATGGTGCGGCGTGCTCTGTCCCGAGTGATCTGCAAGCCAAGGTAGCTGCGCAGTTCACCCAGGTCTGTGCACGTGTGTCTCTTCAGCAGCTCAGAGTTCACGTAGGCGAGTCCAGCAGTGTCTGCTGTGGCAAAGACCAAGTCGTCGACGTACACGAGGATGTAGAACGGCGGCAGGGAAGTGTCGGTGCGAAGAAACAGCGACGGGTCAGCAGTAGAAGGAGCAAACCCAAGAGCCGCAAGCGTAGTCCTCAGTGTGTCGTGCCACTCACGCGGTGCCTGGCGGAGACCGTAGACTGGCTGTCGGAGGCTCCACTGGGTCCCAGGAGGGAAAGTCCCAGTGTAGCCAGGTGGACGGCGAAGCCAGATCTCCTCGTGCAGGCTACCCTGCAAGAACGCAGTGCTGAAGTCGAGAGAGTGAAGCTCGTAGTCGCGCTGAGCTGCTATGTGCAGCAGCACCCGAAGAGTAGTCATCTTCGGGGTGGGAGAGAAGGTCTGAAAGTAGTCAACTCCCTGCCGCTGACTGAAGCCACGAGCAACGTACCGTGCCTTGAAGACAGGTGGAGAGCCCGGCGGCCGTTTCACCCTGAAGATCCACATGCCACTGACGATGTTCGCCCCAGGAGGGGGAACCGCGTCAACGTAGGTGCCTGTGGACTTCCAGGAAGCCATCTCTGCATCCATAGCTGCCTGCCACTGAGAGGAGTAGGGACCCTCTACGGCCTCCGCGTAAGAACGCGGAGTCGGGATGTCTAGTGCATCCGGGTCTCCCTCAGGGGCAAGCAGTACAGACGCGAGATGAGGTGAAGCAGCCGCTAGACACTGTAACTCCTCCTGCCTGTCCTCTAGGACGTCCGTGCGAAGAGCACACTCACCCCCGACGGACGGAGGACAGACAGACGCAGACTCAGCAACAAGACTAGCAGCGTAGTCAAGACGACAGCGAGCAGCAAAGTCGACGAGCTCAGCGACTAGAGCAGACGCAGCAGTGGACTCAAAAGAGGGGTCAGTGACGACAGTAGCAAGCAGACGCGGGACAGTAGGACTGGCAGCACGAAGAGAGTCCGACTCAGGGTCGGCAAGCGCAGGAAGAGAGGACTCAGGAGGAGAAGGCAAAGGGGCACGCAGAGGAGCAGTGGACGGACGCAAAAACATCCGGTGCGTGCCAGGGACAGGAGGAGGACGCTGACGCGAACTGCGACCACTAGCGCGAGCAGTGCGAACAGGCGACGCGGGACGAGACGCAGGCTCACGACGCTCAGCAAGACCTCCAGTAGGACCAGTGTAAGGAGAGGGAGCAGGCAGTGGAGAGGAAGGCTCCAGCAAGGACTGCGACTGGACAGGCGGTGGACCCTCTACTAGAGGAGAAAGACCAAGAACCTGCTGCAGGAGCGGAACGAAGTACGGCCGAGGCCGCGCGGCAGCTCCAGACGCAGCAGGGACAGCACCAGCACCCTCAGCGACAGCACCAGCGCCACCCACACCTCCAGCGGCAGGACCAACAGCAGTAGGCTCAGCACCAGCGCCCTCAGCAGCTCCAGCTCTTGGAGGACCCGCAGGTCCAGCAGCTCCGGGACCGGTAGCACCCGCACCCTCGACGGTCGAAGAAGCTCCAGCTCCAGCTCCAGCAGCACCTCCAGACTCAGCAGCACGCCTCCAGCGGCGAGCGAACCACTCGCGCAGCTCCTGTGGAGAGAGGGG